CACTTTTACCCTTGGCTGAATTTGCCTATAATAACTCAAAACACTGGGCCACAAGACAGTCTCCCTTCTTCTCTAACTACGGATTTCACCCTGCATTCATTTCCAATATAGTGTCTGAATCAGCGATCCCAGCAGGCCAAGATACCTTTGAATTTCTTCAGCAGAATAACAAGATGCTACAGGAAACCATCTCAAAAGCTCAACTGGATAATAAGATGTTCTCTGACAGGAAAAAAAAGGGGACCTGGTCCTCGAACCTGGCGAAGAGGTATGGTCTAAGATTAACCTGTCCCTCAAAGAAGTTAGGCCCCAAATTCGTGGGTCCTTTTCCTGTAAAGAGGAGAATCAATGACGTAGCATACGAACTCATACTACCGAATTCACTAAAAGTCCATCCTATATTCCATGTCTCATTGCTTAAGACTGCAGTTTCTAACCCCTTCCCAGGTCAAGAATTGGGGCCACATGAACCAGTGATCGTCGACAGCGAAGAAGAATATGAGGTTGAAACTATTGTTGACTGCAGGAAAAGGAGGAACCAACTCCAATATCTACTTAAATGGATAGGTTATGGACCTGAAGACAATTCATGGGAACCGGAGTCTAACATCCACGCTAAAGATTTAATCGTGGCATTCAAGCACAGGCATCCAGAGAAGATGGCCCAGTTGGGCATCCGGAGGCTGCCCTTAGGGAGTGGGCACTGTCAGGGACCCTGTCTCGTGCAGCCGTGCGATGGCGACAGGTCGCGGCGGTGCAAGTGCACATGCGTGGGAGCGTGCGGACACGCATGCGCAGTAGCGTGGGAGTGCGCGCATGCACAGTAGAGTCTGCATCACCACTAGGCGGGCTATTTAAACCTGCAATACAGTACAATCAATGCCTTCTGGTCAACAGCGTTCCTGCACATAATACCTGATCCTGTTGCCTGTATTCTGATTTGCCTGACTAAGAAAGAACTCCGCCTGCACCGACCTCGGTTATCCCTGACCATCTGCTTGCCTGCTCCCTTGTACTTGATCTGCCTGCTTAATACTGACCCGGCTTGTCTGACTCTGCTGTATCTACGTACCTGCACCTGGCTTGCATTCTGACGGCTGCCATACTTACCTGCCGCTGCACCCACGGTCCTGCATCTGGCTTGTATCCTGACATGTGCCATACTTGCCTGCCGCTGCACCCACGGATCTGCACCTGGCCTGCATCCTGAGATCAGAAGCATCTCAAACAGATGCCAACACAAGCTCAGAGTCATCTCAAACTGATGTCATCAGCGAAAGCCCATGGCTGGTGACACAAGCCTTAACACAAATGAAACTGATCACATTTATGTAAACATAATATACAATTTTGAAAATGTTTAAAAGTAGTTATTAGCAAAAACACTATTATACAATAGCAATTTTGCATTACCTATGTAAGTATAAAATACAGATGTTAGGCTATCCACTTAAAATGTTTTGTGGAGGAGGGCTGGAGAATTTTTCCAAGGAAACTACTGAAATGTGTGACTTTAAAACCCCATAGATGGATCTCATTTAGACTACATAATTGCAGGTCTTGTCAACATGTCATTTATATGAAATGTGATGGGAAAGTGCAGAAAAGAAAAGACGTTTAAAATAAGCAGAAGTGTTATTATTCTCAGAGCAATTATAGACTGCCCTAGTTCACTAATAATGTACAAAATTATATAATGTGGAGAATTCAGTACCGCTATTTGATAACTCCCACACTTTATTGTGTACAAAGCAGCAACTATAGTGGTTAATATTTTATAATTCTGTTCAATGGTTTCTTTAACAGGAGCTACTGTTTTTTTGGTGTGGGCGAGTTCATTCTCCTACTGGCTTTTTTTATTGCCTTAAAATACCATGATCTCCTCACCATAGTTCTTGCTTTATGCACTGCTTTACATTATGAAGCCAAGCTGGAAGGACTGTCATTTTCCTGCTACTGAATTCTATAAAAAATTAAATAGGAAACACTCTAAAGAAAGTCAAGCAAACCAGGCATGAGTTCAGTTGCTTGAAACATTTGGCAATCTTATACATGCAAGTGAAAAAACCTGCCCCAATCACCACTCTCCTTGACAGCAAGCTAGCCCTTTCTCATGCTTCCTTTTCCTCCCCACCCTTCTCTATTCACATAGATTTTCAAGCACAAACCAAACAAGTGTGCAGCTTTATAGAGCAGCCAGCAGCAAATCTAAAGATTACCAAGATGTTGGATCATGCCCAGGGGTGGACTGACAACTCATGGGGCCCCGGGCAATAGGGGATCATGGGGCCCCTGTGTCCTTGCCCAAACTCAAAAAAAGCCTATGAAAAAGGTACCAGGGGCATCTCATGGGGCCCCCTACTGACCCCGGGCCCTCGGGCAGTGCCCAAGTTTCCAAATGGTCAGTCCGCCCCTGATCATGCCTGCAGTCTGAATGCCCTCTAAAAATCCAGAGGCAGTTTGGATAGATAGAGGAACCTAGATCCCAGCAATAAAATCACCAAGTAGTAAAAGAAAAAAAAAAAATTTGGACTAACCCTATATATACTCACTAGAACTAGAAAAAGGTCTCCCCAGGCTCCCACATACGGTGGGGGCAGAGGGTGAGGTCAGGCAGCACTGGAAATGCTCTTTAGGTTAGATCTTGGGTAAAGGAGAGGGGGTAGAAGCTATTTTTTTATAAGGGCATTATAAAGATTGCAAAGGTAGGAGAGATCAAGAGTGGTTACCATTTTTCATATAGGACACATTTACAAAACAGCAGGCAAGTGGTGGCTTGAGAAGGGTGCATGAATGGTCGTGCAGTCAGTTGTAACAACTTTGCAAACAAGCTGCGATCAGTAAGAAATGGAGAGAGGTATTGTAGTTAGCAGTGTTTTGTTCACTATGAGAGATTGCCATCTGCATCTCTACAGAAATCACATAAAAAAAGCCAGGGAGGTTGGGTCATGACATGACAGCAGCACCTACACAACTGGCACAAGCTAAACAGATATTTCCATGATTTATGTGTGTAGAAGATAGCAATGCCACCTGATAATTTGGAGTTGGTTAACAGCAACTTTCTATAGTAATAAAGATGCATCATTGATGAAGTCTGCATGGTCAGCAGATGAGAGGTGTTGTTGGTGAGGGATTCATTGGAAATACAAGTGAGGGCTCAGTGTCACATCTATTAAAAACACCAGAATTTAAAAAAAAAAAAATGCATAGATTACCAAAAACAGGAATACAAGGATTTTCGTACACACCATAAAACCCTCTTCATGTTCATTGAGGGACACAAGATTCAGAGACATTTGGGTTATACTACCACCTACAGAACACTAAAAACAAAACAAAAAATGTCTATACAGTGGTATAACCCTCGCACTACCAGGTTTTTGTTTTGTTTTTTACAAAGCAGTGCTGAATGTAAGACATTAAAAAAGGAAGGGTTGGGCATGTGTTCCTCAATGAACTTAAAAAGGACTTTACAGTGAGTACAAAAATGCTACAAAACAAAACAAAAAAAAACTAAATTCTAACAGAAAAACTGGGGACTGCCTGCAGCCTAAAGAGCTGCCTGAAGGACCTTACACTAGAGAATGTGTAAACAGGAGACTAGATGGCAGCCTTGAAAATTTGGGAAATGGCTGCTCTAATGCCGAAAAGCCCAAGAAGCACTCACAGAAAAGGTTGGAATCTGATCCCAAAGACAGTATGTTTGAATAAAGATATGTCTAAGCCACAGAGAAATGGTGGAGCAAGTAACTGGTTAACCTTGCGGTGACCATCTGAGATTACAAAAGGGAAAATCAGTCTTCCTAATTAAAGTATTAGCTGCAAAGTACACGTATAGCACAGAATACATTCAGACAGTGAATGGAAATCTTCTATTGTACTGAAGCCAGGCAGAGGGATGGAAGTATAATATTCTGGTTGAGGTGAAAGGCTGAAACCACCTTGGGAAGAAAGGGGCTCTGGGCCTCAAAACAACCTTGTCGCCATGTAAAATAAGAAAGGGTTCTTTACAAGACAAGGCCTCCAATTTAGACTTACACTTTGTCGAGGTGATGGTGACAAGGAAAGAAACATTGTAAGCATGGAGAGGTGAATATCTCTAGAAGGTTCAAAGGGTAGTTTCTGAAGTACTGAAAGAATCAAATTCTAATCCCACAAAGCAACGCATGAACATACAGGGAGAGCCACATGAGAGACAACCTGTAGAAAAGCCTAAATTAAAGGACAGGAGGCTAGTTGTCTTTGGAACAAAACTGCAAGTGCCAAGATTTCACCTTTGAAGGTACTAACGACCAAATGCTGGAACAATTTGTGAAAACGTTTACATTATGAACAGGACAAATGTACTCCTGAAAACTGAAATTTACAAGTCGGCCCTACATGAGTCATTCAGACTGGTATTGTGTGGGCGGAGTTAATTCTCCTTGTATTTATCACTTTGCTATGGCCCTGGCATATCAACTTATACCCAGGCAGAAAATGACTGTCAGAGTGGACCTGATGGGGAACCGCAACACCCTAAACCATGCTGGCTCTGCCCCTAATGTCCATTAGGACATTGTGAAAATATCAGCTTCATGATGCTAAGAACAGTAGACTCCATCCCCTCATCCTGAATGAAGACTTCATGGGCAACTGATTGCCACAAGCACTGGCCATTCAGTAATATATACAAGGAGCACTAGCTCTGCTCACAGTGCTGCTAGTATGCATGCAGTTCAAGCCGTCTAGCATCCATCATTGCAGGTGGCTTGAGCCACTTAGCGTCCTAGCAACCAGTAGAGCACATCTGCATCGTATTCTTGTAAACGTTAAAGAAATGAAAGAAATATACATGTGTACAGTGTACCAACCATATTTTATCCAGCACTGACTGATAGGCATATTTATTAGGCCCGTGTGCATGAGCCCTTGTACACTTTTTTTATTGGGTTAAATATAGCAGGACTACTGCTCCATCGTAGAAATAGTACACATGTATGACAGAATTTTCTTACCTCCCATTTGGATTCTTCCAGCTTAGGACTAAGGTTTTCAGGCTGAGATGACTGTTTTTGTCGAAGCTGCTCACATTCTGCCCTTAAGGAGTTGAGCTCCTCATGGAGGCGCTTTTTCTCTTGCTGTACCTTATACAGCTGTAGCTGTAAGGCCCGCTGGCTACGCAGTGCCTGCTGGGAGATCTGCTGGAGCTTGGATACATACATCTGTTTTAATTCATCCAGTTCCTCCATCCATAAACGACGCTTGTCCTCAAATACCTGCAGAACAGTCAAACAATACATATAAAAACCATGAAAGAAAAGCCTATTTAAAAAAGTTCTTGCTTCAGGTATTTTCAGGTCAGTGAGGCAAAATACTGGAGCCACTGGATTTGCACTGCAGCTTGGCAATTAGCATTTTCAGGAGAGATCAGCAATTGCAGCCTACATATTTTAGTATTGTATAAACTTCCCTTAAAAATAATAGCAGTTACACCAGCAAACGAGTGCCTTTATGAGACAGTATTGCTGTGAGTTGGGATGCCATTGAAAGGATTTTTTCTTGTTTTAAAATATAAACATGTCATACTTACCTGTTCTGTGCAGTGGTTTTGCACAGAGCAAACCTAATCCTCCACTCTAGACGTCTCATTTCGACGATACTGGCTCCTTCACCCTGCTGATTGCCCCCATAGCAAGCCGCTTGTGTGGCTTGATCTCAAGCTCTGCATGTCCATTGACAAAGCATGTCTCGGTCCCCGCTCACTGCACACTGGCTGTGACTGACAGCAGCGAGAGCCAATGGCTCCCACTGCTGCCTCCATGTCCAGTGAGGAGAGAGAGAGTGGAGAGAGTCACTGCTCTCAGGCACAGTGCTGGATCGAGATCGGGCTCAGTTAAGTATAAGGGTGAGGTGGAGGGGAGCTGAACACAGAATGTTTTTTTTACCTTAATGCAGAGAATGCACATTAACACAAACATTATGCAAGAAAACAGATGATTGCTACGTGTGGGTTCTGGCTTGAATGTTTTAGATTCTTTACATTTCATTTTAATTGTCAGTGCACCACCAGCAGTTTCTAACCTGTACATATAATAATGGGGAAGGATGGTATATTTACACCATAATCAAACAGAGTAGAACAATAGAGGTAACAACCTCATGGTGCCTACAGCCCCTGGGAGTGCCAGTTCTTCTCCAAATTATTTTCCCTTCTTTACACTGGAAGCACAAAAATATATACAAGGCAAAGGACACTTTTGTGATCAACGCTTTGTTATCCTGTGTGTAGGTGTAGGTGTAAATAAGTAATGAGTGCTAGGTCCTTTTTAACAGATTTGCTCAGGGCTCAAAGGATTTTAGCTATGCCTCTGAATAATGGAAATGGCACTATCCACATCAGAAAACAAACCTTTAATGTGGCCATGGTTTCTAACAGTGTTCAGAGTATTTCAGCCTTAAATGTTTTCATAATAAATCTCCTTTGTAATTCTTTGTAACATTTACCATATGTATCTCAACTAGTGGTACAGAGATCTGAATAATATGGTTTATGATACTCGTTAGCACCAGAGAAGGGTTTTAGGAAGAAAATAAAATTATACTCACCTAGGTGGATGCAGCATCAGTCTGTTGCTTCATCTGTTTACCCCGTGCTTCTCAGACTGAGAACTGAGTGATCAAAGATTGCTGATTGGTCAGTTCTCAGCCTTCACTGACTGTCAGTCACCAGCTCACTGCTCTGCCCCTCTAGCACTCACTGGAGCACCTGGCTGTGGAGTAGGTGGGAGAGGCTGGCTCACTCAGCCACTCACCATATGGTCAGAATCTTTTCAAAACCTGGACTGGCTCTGTGATGTCAGCCAACAGCAGGCAAATAGATGGGAGCTATGCTAGGAAATTGACCTGTCAAATTTCTATCACGTGCAAAGGCACATTCCAAGCAAATAAAAATAACTTCTGCAAGAGAAAAAATACTACAAATAAGCATTTAAAATACCGAATTTTTCTGTACTTGTATCTGTAATGTTCTAGGTTAAGCATTTGGTATAGATTCTCTTTAAAGCCTGGGTCAAGTGTTTCCTACAAAGTGGCCTCAATGCACACCCACTCACCTGAGTAAAGGGATCATCTTTGTCACTTGGATTCCTTCTTAGTTGCCTCAGTTCTACCCCTTTCTCATGGAGTTTTTCTTCAAGTTGGCGCGCTACATCTTCTACAGACTGAGAGTACTCATATGGAGGAGGAGGTTCTCCTGAACACTGCAGGCGGCTCAAAGTTGCCATGCTCTTGCAGGACAGTGCCATTTTTTCACCAGATGCCATGTCTCGAGTTGCTCGTGATGCTCGATCTAATGATCCTCCAATATGGTTTATATGTCCAGTGGATGCACTGATTTGACCCCGTGCTACACTGAATCCAGGGCTATAACCTGAAAAGCTGTTGGCTGAATTTTGCCTGGAGTCAGACAAGCTGTCGTTTTCTTCACTTTCAGTTTCATGATGGCTGACAGAATGGTTGTTTGTTGACTTCAGAGGCCCTCGACGTGGTGGACTGTTCAGACTGCCTAGGGTATTCAGACTACCATTGCTTTTCGATAGCTTGTGGCTACTGGTAGAACATAAACTCTGCATTGACATGAAGTTCTTTCCGTTAGAAGGCTTCAAAGCTGCTGGCCCAAAACGAGACTGCAAACAGAAAAGAAGAGTCACAGTCAGTGCCAACAATGATATTGTTTCACCCAGTGTTTCGCAACCTTTTTCCAGTCGGAGCGCCCTTGAAAAGTATTTTCAGTCATGAGGCACCCCTATTCAAGGCTTGGTTCACGTTACTGTGTTTGCAGGAACGCATGCAAAATTGTGCTCATTCCTGACATGCAGACAAATGCTCTACTCTTTAGGGGTACCATGAATTCTTAACGGTACCCCATACATTGGCAAACGCGAGGTTTTTTGGTATGGCGCAATTTTAAAAAAAGGGTCAGGGATGACATGCCCTGTATTTCTGCGGGCAAGTCAGCCCACTGAAATTAATGGTCTGCCCTACATGTAGCCCATTCACGCAACACCTGTGAGGTTGTAGGGCAGTAAAACCACGCAAGCCTAAGTGCTTGTTCACCTGTGAGGTTGGAGGGTGGCAAAACCACGCAGTTGAGCTGCTTTTACCACCCCCAACTGCTCCCCCTTTAGCTGTAGAGACAGCAACTGGGGGTATACAGTGAGAAACAGAAGTATTTGAACACCCTGCGATTTTGCAAGTTCTCCCACTTAGAAATCATGGAGGGGTCTGAAATTCACATTGTAGGTGCATTCCCACTCTGAGAGACAGAATTAAAAAAAAATTCAGGAAATCACTTTGTATGATTTTTAAAGAATTTATTTGTCTTGTACTGCTGAACACAAGTATTTGAACACCTAAGAAACAGCAAGAATTCTGGCTCTCAAAGACCTGTTACTGTGCCTCTACTCCACTCATTAATCTAACTTAGTAGCACCTGTCTGAGCACTTCTGTTCCTCACTGTACATATGCTGTGGGCGTAGTTGGGGTTGCACTACAACCACCCTATAACTGTGTGCACATTGCGTGCGGTTGTGGTGTGGTGTCGTGATGCTGCATTTACCGAGTTAAAACAGGTGGTGAGGAGGCAACATATTGCCTCTTTACTGCTTGTCAAATGCCTCTGAAAAGTGATCTGAGCATGGACTGCTTTTCAGAGGAGCAGCAGTCCTTGTTCCTAATACGTACAAAACCTAAAAAGCAGTTCTGAAAGGACAGGAGTAGGGGGTCAAGATTAAAAGTAACATACATACACACACATACATATATAAAAACAAACACACACATACAAACACATGTACATACAGACACTTGTACACACACACACATGCAGACACACGCACACACACACACACACACCTATAAAAAGTTGCAGTACATTACCTTCCCTCACGCAGCCGGGTACTGCACTCTAGGGGGAGGCAGAGAGCACAGCAGACACTCCCCCCTCCCTTTGCTTTCGTTTTACTCAACAGTCTGACGGCTCCAAGTGCCACTGTACAGTGCAGCTGGGGATCGGGAGCTCAGGCTCAACTGACATTCTTTCTCTACCAGGACACCTCAACACCTCTGAAGACCTCTGGCGGAACACTGGGGTGCTGCGGCACCCTGGTTGAGAAATGCTGGTTTATCCCTTACACTGCCATAGCCATTTCTGTGTTTTTTTGCACCCATTTAAAAAAATCATTTTAGACTTGAAAATTACATATAACCCCCAAACATTATAATTTCTGAAAGCAGACACTTTAGAGAGTAAAACAGTGGTAGTTCCAATTTTCTTTTACATTCATGGCTGTGAATATTGGCACCCCTGCATTTCTGTCAGATAATGTACCACTCGGCCCAGAAAATTGTTGCAATTACAAATGTTTACGCATTCTCATGTTTATTTCTTTTGTTTGTATTGGTATGACACAAAATAGCGGAGAAAGAAAAAGCAGAAATTTAAACATTCCACGCAAAACCCCAAAATTGGACTGTACAAAATTATTGGCACCCACAATGTAATATTTGCTAGTACCGTATATACTCGAGTATAAGCCGAGTTTTTCAGTACATTTTTTGTGCTGAAAAACGGCCCCCTCGGCTTATACTCGAGTCAAGGTCTACAGGGGGCTGCTGTCTCTTACCTGGCTCCGGTCCCACGACGATCCGGTCCAGGAAGCGCGGCTGCTCCTTCATTCGATTCGTCCACTGGATGTTCGCGCGGGCTGCTCGGCTCCGCCTTCTCACCGGTGATTGGCCGCCAGAACTGTAGCTCAGGAAAGGCACACAGGCGGCCAATCACCGGCGAGGAGGCGGAGCTGAGCGGCCCCGCGAAAATCGAGTGAAGGAGATGCAGGTAAGTGTGCCGTGCTTAGGTGCTGCTGCAACCACATATGCTGGCTGCAGCAGCACCATACTGGAACAGGGGTCAGCAAGTGTCAGTGGGAGGAATAGTGCCCCATCATTGGTGTCACTGATACCAATGATGAGGCATTATTCCTCCCACTGACACCAACGATGGGGCACTATTCCTCCCCCCCACTGACACCAACGATTGGGCACTATTCCTCCCCCCCCCCCACTGACACCAATGATGGGGCACTATTCCACCCCCCACTGACACCAATCATGGAGCACTATTCCACCCCCCCACTGACACCAATCATGGGATACTATTCCTCCCCCCCACTGACACCAACGATGGGGCACTTTTCCTCCCCCCCACTGACACCAACGATGGGCATGCTATTCCTCCAACCCCCACTGACACCAATGATGGGATGCTATTCCTCCCACTGACACCAATGTTGGGACACTATTCCTCCCACTGACACCAAAGATGGGGCACTATTCCACTGACACCAATAATGGGATGCTATTCCCCCCACTGATACTAATGATGGGGCACTATTCCTGCCACTGATACCAATGATGGGGCACTATTCCTCCCACTGACACCAATGATGGGGCGCTATTCCTCCCACTGACACCAATGATGGGGCACTATTCCTCCCACTGACACCAATGATGGGGCACTATTCCTCCCACTGACACCAATGATGGGGCACTATTCCTCCCACTGATACCAATGATGGGGCACTATTCCTCCCACTGATACCAATGATGGGGCACTATTCCTCCCACTGATACCTGATGGGGCACCAATGATGAGGCACGATTCTTCCCACTGGTGTTCCCACCCTCGGCTTATACTCGAGTCAATAGTTTTTCCCAGTTTTTTGTGGTAAAATTAGGTACCTCGGCTTATATTCGGGTCGGCTTATACTCGAGTGTATATACGGTAAATATTAAATTAATATTTTAAAAAATAAGTGAAATCAATGGCTTCCTGTAACCATCACTGATGTTTTGGGGTTGCTTTGCTGCTTCAGGCAATGGATGTCCTGACCGTGTGCATGGCATTATGAAATCTGAAGACTACCAAAAAATTATAGGGGGCAATGTAGGGCCCAGTGTCAGAAAGCTGGGTCTCCATCAGAGGTCATGGGTCTTACAGTGGGACAATGACCCAAAGCACACGTCAAAAAGCACCCAGAAATGGTTTCAGACAAAGCACTGGAGAGTACTGAACTGGCCAGCAATTTCTTTCTCCACTTTTTTGTGTTATACCAATACAAACAAAAGAAATAAACATGAGAATATCTAAACATTTGTAATTGTAACAATTTTCTGGATGAAACGGTGCATTATCTGACAGAAAAGCAGGGGTGCCAATATTTTTGGTCATGACTGTATATATGATGTTAGTGAAACGGTTAGGAAACACAAAATCTCAGCAAAAAATTACCTTACGTTAATCATAGGGTACACAAATGCAATATATCTTGCTCAATTTTTGGTAAAATATATAAGATGAGGTTGTGCCGAGTACCCAACATGTCAAACCTTAAAACGGAGCATACCCGTGAAATGGCCACACACTTCGCTACCCTATATTTCAATAGATGATGCTTCAAGAGCCTCTACAGATCATCAGTTTAGAGTTATGCAGGAGCTCTGTAGCTAGAATATTTGCTCCTACTCTTGGTGTTCGCAGCATTATATAACATGCGTAGGACAATCAACGTTTTTGTTCGTAGGCACCCCCTACAAATACTTTTACATTTGTACGTGCGTGTATGCAGGATGGGGGGGAGCTCAAAACTTTTTTTGGACAGCAGATGAAGTCTAGCTGTCAGGTTGTCAGATATACACACACCCCCTGCTGCTACTGACGTAGTGTCTACATCGGTGGCAGCGAGCGGGTTGAAGGCTCAGCCCACACAGAATAAACATTAAAGATTTTAGTAGTTGCTACCAGGGGCGGACTGACAACTCATGGGGCCCCCGGGCAATAGGGGATCATGGGGCCCCTGTGTCCTTGCCCAAACTCAAAAAAGCCTATGAAAAAGGTACCAGGGGCATCTCATGGGGCCCCCTACTGACCCCGGGCCCTCGGGCAGTGCCCGAGTTTCCAAATGGTCAGTCCGCCCCTGGTTGCTACAGAACTAAACCTACTCACAGTGTCTTTTACCTCTTAGGGACTCTATCTGTGACTTTGCTGTGCTTGAGTTTCTGGGTCTTCTCAGCTGCTATGGCCATTCAAGTGTTGGTCCCGGTCTGTCTGCTGATTTTTTCCTGGATATTGGAAGCCAATATCCAGGATATAGAGTGTTGCTTTGCAATGACCAAGCATTACTGTTTTGAAACCTTTGTTTAACGTGGTTCTAAAGTCTAAACAGTTTTTAGACCTGTATCTGTATCAACCCTTCCCCCTTATACTTACTTCACTCGATCCAGTGCTATGCCCCTCTGTAGTCTCTCCCAGCTCCAAGAGGATTTGATAAGGCAGCGGTAGCCATTGGGATCAAGCCAGCAGATGTGGCACAATAGAAAGTGGCTTCCTATGGTGGCACACTCAGAAAAGGAGGAGCCAGGAGCACCAGCGGGAGAACTAAGAAGAGGAGGAACGGGGCACCTCTGTGCAATTTCTATTGCACAGAGCCGGTAAGTGTAACATGTTAGTTATATACAAAATAGAAAATTTAGACTTTACAATCACTTGAACTCTCATTATCTAGTTTTAGGACTTGCAAAAGGGTTCACAAACCCTGTATAAAAAGCCCACCAGATTCCATCTGTAAATTAAATATCATTTTTGGGTGGACAATTTAAGGATGTATATTGTCTGGTTATAAATGTATACGTGGTAATTGTGTTGTGACCTTTTTAGCATACAAATGTCTGAATGCAGTAGGAGTGAAAAGGAGGATCTGACTGGTTGTTCTGAATAACAAGCATTTTTTTCTCTTTGAAACATTTAATGAATGTTGTCCAAACTGACTAATTCCTATAGTCAGAACTGTGCCCGTGGGATCTGTGTAATGCACCTGGCACTGATCATCCCTCAGTAAAAGTGAATGCAAAGTGAGTGTTCCCCACAGCATCACCTAGTTTCTCCCCCTCTGGACCACACGCAGCCACATGAAATCCTGCACTTAAGGTGATTAAGCTGTAATGTGCAGGGGTTACAATGGTGGAACAGATATGCAATGGGGTACAGTGGTGGAATAGGTATATTGACAGTACAGTAGTAATGAAATGTGTGTGGGTGTACAGTGGTGCAATGGGAGTGCAGACACAGTGCAGTGGTGGAAGAGATGTGCTTGGGGTACTGTGGCGGAACATGTGTGCAGGGAGAATACAGTGACTTAACGTGTGCAGACGCTTAAAGTGGTGGAATAAGCATGCCAATGGTATAGTGGTGGAACCGGCAGTGTTTGCATGAAACAGGGGTACAGGTGATGCAGTTGTGATAAAACAGGTGTGTAGGTGCCATCCATTGGTGATGAAACAGCCATGTGGGAGCTGGCAGTGGTGAAACAGGTATGTGGGGGGTAGACAGAGGCCAATGTGTGTGGAAGGTACAACTGTGAAAGAGATGTGTTTGGGTTTCATCTCATTGATGTACAGAGGGTACAGTGGTGGAAGAGGTATGTGGGGGTGCAATGCTTGAATATGCCTGAGGGAGGAACAATGGTGGTATAGGTGTTTGAGAAGCTCAGTGGTGGAAGAGGAGTAAAGTGGCGTAAGAGAGGTGCAAGGGATCCAGAGGTGAGTAGTAGTTTAAGAGAGGTGCGAAGAGTGCAGATGTGGGTGGTGATGAAGAATAGTTGTGGGAAGTGCAGAAGATAGCAGTGGTGGACAATTGGTGAGCGAAGTGATGACAGGAAATGTCTTATTGCCATGGGCAACACTGCACACTAGGCTGTCAACTACAAAACCTGACCCATGGTTCACCTACCTCCCTGACATTGCTGAAAGTGATTTCCAGTTAGTGGCTAGGCATGCCAGTAGGTAGACCAGTGCATGGAAGAAGGCCCGCACACCTCCATTCTTCCTCCTCTTGCTTAAAACCTGCAGCAGGTATGAATAACTCCTGAGTTTCTGATAGTGTGGGGCTTGGAACTGATCTGAGGTGTAACGGTGCATACATTTGGGGCTGATCTGAGGTGTGAAGGTGTAGAAACTGAGGCTTATCTAAGGTCTCAAGGTGCATTGGTGCTAATCTGGGCTTTGAAGGTGCAGGAAATAAAGCTGATCTGAGGTTGGATGTTGCAAGAATTGCAGCTGATCTGAGGTCTGAAGGTGCAATAATTGGGGTCAATTTGAGGTTGAAGGTACAGGTATTGGGGCTGATGTGAGGTCTAGAGGTTATGCATCTGGGTTTATCTAAGGTCCAAAGGTACATTAATTGGGGCTGATCTGAGGTCTGAAGGTGCATGAATCAAAGTTGATCTGAGGTTTAAAGTTGCAGGAATTGTGGCTGATCAGAGGTCTGAAGATACATGATGGTGCAGCATTGCTTGGATTTAGGCTTCACAAGAAGACACCCAATCTTATGAAATGCACATACCTTTTCAAAACGTCCCCGTTCTGGAAGTGACGACTTGGTGAAGTCTGTACTCCTGTGCTCTTTTTGGTACAAGCCAGGGTAGTCATTTTCTTCTCCTTCCATGCTGTGTTCTCTTCTGAATCCCAGCCCAGAAGGTATCTTCTTGGCACTCTTGCCATCTTTCTTTGTAATACTCAAGTAGCTCAGCAGATCTTTCTGATTCAGACTCCTCTTCAAGATATTTCCTGGGCTGTGAGAATCTGGGAGGGACTTAAAGTCTAATCTGAAATCATCAGGTGAAAAGTCATTTTTCTCTATCAGACTGCTCACACTACCCATATTGCACCTATAGGAAATGTCCGAATTAAAAGAACGGAGGATTTGGTTCCCGTGGTCACAGGCTAGACTGAATGTCTGTGCAGCTGCCATGGAGGATTAACAGTAGGCTTGACCAATCTACAAAGATAAAAATAAATGTTATAACTCAACATTGTGTATTTCATGTTGCAGTTTGTAGCAGGTTTTACAATGCAGCTTATGATTAGGACGTTTTTTTCTATACCTGTCAGCTAGCATAAACTTTTAAAAATAAACGTTAAATAAAGATTATGCCTAGCAAAAGGTGCTATAAGACTTCAGTTAGTCAAAACTTCTATTCTCTATTTGATCTTACATTTACTTTGTTACCAAGGACCAACTTCTGGGTGTGGGCCTCATCCATCTGCCACTGTTATATACAAAACATTTTTTTAAATTTAGAAAACAGACACTTAGATCTATAAAAATACATAGCTCACATTCTAGTACATAATCACTAGCCACCATTACAACACCTTACCGCTAACATAAGTATCAGAATAGAATCCTCCTATTTAACCACTTCCAGTCCGGACACTTTTACCCCCTTCCTGTCCAGGCCAATTTTCAGCTTTCAGTGCTATCACACTTTGAATGACAATTGCGCGGTCATGCAACACTGTACCCATATGAATTTTTTAGCATTTTTTGAGACAGATAAAGCTTTATTTTGGTGGTATTTATTCACCGCTGGGATTTTTAATTTTGTTTGCTATGTAAATTAAAAAGTCCAAAATTTTGAAAAAAAGTGTTTTTCTTATAAAATTTTGCAAATAAACAGTATTTCATCATAAATCTTGGCCAAAATTTATTCCGTTATATTTTTAGTAAAAAAAAAAAAATAACCTAAATTAGTTTATAACCAAAAATTATAATTTTTAAACATTTGTTTTACATTTTTCTATTTTTTTATATTATTAATTAATTTATTTTTTTACATACTGTCACCCTAGCAGTACAGTGTCACCATGGTGACACTGTACTACTTGTGGGGGGTGATGAAGATTTTTTTTTCTTTTTTTACACTGATTGCTTTTACACCCATAAAGGCTGTAAAAGCAATCATTTCTCCTCCTCTCTAGCTGCATTCTGGCAGCCATTGGAGCTACTGAGTGAGCTGTGATAGGTTACAGCTTGTCACATGGTACAAGACTGTTGTGAATAGCCTTGTACCACGTGACCTCTGTGATCATTCACAGATTTCACACGTAGTAAGCAATGATGTCACAAGTGACATCTTGCTTACTACTCTGCATGTGATCACTGATCACACTGCATGTGATCACTGATCATGTGATCACACAGCAGGCACCGGATAGCGGTGCTGCGTGCTCCCAGGGAGCGCGCACAAGCAGGGCGCGGGGAGGCCGTTTATAAACGGCCACCCAACCCTGTACTGCCACCATCCAGCCGTTTATATACAACGGCCAGACGGGAAGAGGTTAAAGGTCATAGCCACAATCCCTGGTTCTATAAAGAGGCCTACTACATAGTAGATATGCAGCAAAACCTAGAGGAGGCTGGGAAGCAGCATAAAGCCAATCAACAGTAAGACTCCATTCATACTAGGGTGTTTCAAATCGCAGGTGGAATCATCGCATTCTGCGCGATTTGAAAACACACTGTGAAAATGCACATTTGTGTGTTCAGGTTCCATACATTTCAATGGCAGCTCAAAATGTGGGGCGTTTTTTCCGCATGACAAACAATCGCACAAAATCGCGAAGCGCAAGATGCCCAAAATTTCTGAAACTGTTTTTTGGCGCCGTAAGTCCCGTGTTTCTGTTTGTGCAATCGCGATGTGTTTGTCACATGGAAAAACGTACGCAGTCGTGGAAAAAATGCCCTGCGTTTTCAGATGCCATTGAAATCAAACATGTTTGGGACAAACATAAACCTGTATTCAGAAAGAAAAAGTTAACAAAAAAAACCCCAAAACAAAACAAAAAAACAGGCAGACTCAGGGAACCACTCAGTTTTTTCTGCTGTCATTTTTCTATGTTTCTAAATAACTAACCATGGCATATGCCATGAAGAGCACTAATCAACATCAAATGATGCCCTCCCCACCAAGTAGCACCCTAAGCAACTACCTAGTTGTCCTATGCAAAGAAACAGCCTTCTTGCCAGGCCTCTACACCAGGACAAAAGGCATCCAAAGCAGAAAAGGGGCTTTTGTCCACACTACCTATCAAGATTAGGTTTTATTTATAAGACAGAAATTATTCACGTTTCATTCTCTCACATATCTCAAAGTATCAGGATTATTACTCATTTCAGGACAGTGGGAGGAACCATGCAAATCACTGCTTTATGCCCCACTATATAGAAGCCATGGCTTCTGTGACGTAGAGCTTGGGACCCAATAAGACAGTAAAGCCATACAGGTTGTGGTGAAAAGGGTCTAAAGCAATCAAAAAGCCCTCATTATTTGATTGCTTTAGTGGGTACCTTCTGTATTAAAGAGGTTGTAATGTAAAAAAAAAAAAAAAATTAACTAAAATACAAAAGATGTTCTATGTACCTGCTCTGTGCTAGGGTATTGCAGAGTGGCTCTGAACCTCCTCTTCTGCTGTCCCCTGCCAGCGCTTTCCATTTTGCCTCTTCTCTATGTGCTGCCAGGAAACCATTTCCTATGGAGGCACAGGTATGGGACTGCTCTTGAGCCAGGCTGTGTGCCTCCATTGACACACACCGTGCAGTTTTGCCCCGCCCCATTCTTTCTGGATTTGACCAACAGTGGCAAGAACCAATAGTTCAAGCTGCTCTCAGCCAAACCTGTGAGATGGGCACAACACTAGATTGATTAGGACTGAGGTAAGTATTTAGGGAAGGAGTTGGGGAAGAACAGCAAATGTTTTTTTTTTTCACCTTGAGTACAATGCATTAAGGTAAAAACTTTTTGACTTTAGAACCACTTTATGAAGGTGATACTGTTCTGCGCACCAATTAGACTGAGGGCCTTTACATTGATTTATGCATGCCATAGACGGGGAGAAAACCAGCCGAAAATTCGTCCAAAAAAATAATCGGCTGATTTTCGGATCGTTAGTGGCTGAATTGGTTGGCCGGTTTTCTTGATTTTGACACATTTTTTTAATTGTTCATGTTGGGGAAAAAAACGGCCGATTTTGCCCATTGGCCGATTTTCACAGCAATGATGGGAAAATCGGACGATCTTTTTCTCGATTAAAAAAATGCGCATGAGCCGTGACCAAAGAAAAAGAAGAACATCTGTATCTATTTGTATGGATACAAATAGATACAATGTTTGCAACCGCAATACTTAGAAATGTCAAATCTATTAGCGGTGTTCCTGCAGAGAGCTCCGCTATGATATTTGACATGTAAAAGTATAAGAGTTGCAACATTGTATCTATTTGTATCCAAATAGAAACCTCTGTATCCGAAATGGATACAAATAGCTACAATGTTGCAACTTTTTCTTAATATTATTCAGATTCTATTTCTTCTTCAGGGACACCGCTATTATATTAATTGCCGGCTATAGACAGGACGAAAATCAGCCAACTTTTTTTTACCAATGGTGGTAATGTCGGCTGATTGAACAACCAATTTTTCGTTTTTCTAAAAAAAAAAAAACGTCCGTTTTCTCCCCGTCTATGGCCTGCATTAGTCTCTTCTCACCATAATCAAGTTCTACTGTCTTAATTTGTATAAATAAGCCTAGCTGGTTACTAAGGGCATGAGTCTCCATCTTTACCCTGTCTTAAAAAATTTGGCCCCTTCAACAGGAATTGTAAAAAACCCATAGTGAAAACAATCAGCAGAGGAGTTACCCAGCATTACACACAGCATGGCTGTAAGGCAGCGAATGAATCGTTAGAAAAGCACTGGAGTTCTTCTTTAACAGTCAATCAATTAAAGAATGTGAAGTAACAGAAAAGTTAGTAAAAGAATAGGAAAGAAAGGAGCACTGAGTCAGTGACAGCTGAAGGCCACCCACATGCTTTCATACGAAAATCAAGCACATGTTCTTTCACAGATATCCTGATACATGCAGTATGTTCACTTCTTTAAAAGAAAACTTGGAAGAAAACTGGGAAGAAAGAAAAAGTGGCTTTTAAGACATCTATTTTATTTAGTTCATAGACAAAGAATTATTTCAATGAAGCATGGAAATGAAAGGCAACCCAATACAGCCATAGCCCCATAATTATAGCTTTAACTCTTATAATAAGTCACAGAAATGGATGCAGCGGGGCTTACTGTAACATTGTGGGATGGTGGATTGGATAGCAGAGATCAGCATGTGCTCAGACCAACCCAATACCAGAACATAATTTGCTGCAGCAGTTTTATCACCACTGCTATCCCTTAGCATAAGCTACCAATCCAGAGAGTGTGGTGTAGGGAGTCTGCATATAAATTCACATTTGGAAAATGATACGTGCTTCAACCATATTTAGCATGGAACATGTAACATGTTCCAGTTCCTGCCTCCCCTCCCTTGAATTCCCCCCCCCATGACAAACGGCTGGGAGAACCTCTCCCCCGCTCCCACTGTCACGATGTAAAAACAGTGCAGCCGTACAGAGCTCTGCCCACATCTTTCATTCACTGTGAATGAATAAACTACATCTACCGTTGGCCTCCACGGCTGATGTCTTGTAGTTCTCAATGAATTGCAAGGGCGCTGGTGAGTGCTCTCGTAGTTCATTCATTGATTCTTCCTGCCATTAGGTAACTGCCTGCCCATACGAGGTACAGGCAGACAGTGTATTGAGAGTCTACAGGATCCAGTCATTGCGCCCGCAATCTGCAATCGCAATAATAATAAATGCACATTTTTTACCTGCAAACAGATGTGCATTTATAATTTTTTTTGTACAAGGTGAACTTAGTCTTTAAGCTGTAGACAGGTAGCAGACAGGGGTGTACACATCCTGGGATTCTTTGCATTGCGAGTGGCAACAACTATCCCCCTCATCACGTTTGGCAGGCAGTACTGCTTGGCTGTCAAACCTAATCTGAATAGCAAGCTGATGTGGATCGCTCCTCAGAGGGTGAAGCTAGTGTAAACGAGCCCTTAGGCTAATATCAGGGCAGAA